CCAGTGGGCCCTGGGAGGGTCAGGGAATGTCCAGGGGATACCTTGGCCAGCCTGGCTCGGGGTCCTTTTCGTAGTCACCTCCCTCATTCCACCCCCCACCCCCCATCCCCAGCAGTCAAGCCAGGAAATGGCGCTTCCCTCCCTGCTGGCTCTACTCCTTGTTACTGCAAACCTGGGATTAATTTAATTACACGCTTGTCTCCAAGAGGTAGGGGCATGGAGGCGCCCCGTGGGATTGTGAGTTGCCCGAGGCTGCTGGGAAGGATCGTCCTCCCAGGGAGCCGGGCCCTTCCTGGCGTCCCCTGCCATCCTGCTCTAGCCCCTGCCACCAACGCCGACTTGAGGGTTCACCTAGCTCTCACTCTTCCCCATGGCAGGGCACCTGCTCTGACCCCCAGGTGACCGGATGTCCGGCTCCCTGGCTCCTGGCAGCATGCAGAGCCTGGCTTGGGAACCTGAGGGTAGGGGCAGTGGGGACGGGGTCCTGTGTGGCCGGGGAGGCTTATCTGGGTCTTTGAGGAGGCGGCCTCATAGCCTGTTAAACTCTGCAGGATCGGGCAGGTTTGGCGCTGAGCCTGGGCCTCGGAAAAGGCCCCCAGAGCAGAGCTGGGGGCAGTGGGCAGAGGGTGGTCGATGGGGCCCACTTTCCACGCCATCCTCTGGGCCACCCTTCTGTTTCCCTTGACATTAACACAGGACTCTGCGAGGTGAAGGTACAATCGTTTAGTCCCTTCTCCTTTTTTATAAAGAAAGATTTCTCCCTATTCTAAAGGGAGATTACTTGAAAATTAACAAGCAACAGCGTGAACAAATAAACAGTCACCCGTCTCCTCGTGAACAGCACCACGGTCAGTATCTCTGTGTGCCTCGTTCCTGGATTTCTGTTTCAATACATCGATATTTTTAAACGTAACAGCAATCCTACGTGTAGTTTTGTGTCCAGTTCTTTTCACTGGCGTTTAAGTGTTTTTCTTGCCGTTGAGGAGAGAGACTCTCCTAAACGTCATTGGTTGGCGACAAGGGTATATAAACTCTCTGCTGTTGTTGGACAAATAGTTGCTTCCAGTTTTGGTCACTGTAACACTGTCTGCATTCTTCATGATTGGAATTAATTCCTTAGGATACGTTCCATTGGGAGCACTGGGTGATTAAAGACATTTTAAGCTTCTCACATTGTTCTTTTGAAATTCAAAAGAAAAACCCAACAAACCTTGATGTCTGAAGTGTAGTTCACCCTCTGCAGCCTCTTGGGGTTTGGGGCGAACCCAGACAGAGGGGCTGAGCGGAGCGGCTCCTTGCTCTGGGGCCATGGACGCGGCCTGTGGTTTGTGGGATGGGCGGTGGCCTGTGTCCCTTCTCATGGCGCTGGCTCTGTCGCCGCTCCTTCTTCTAGAGCCTGCCATCCTGGGAGGTGGGCGTGAGGCTGTGGAGCGGCGGTGTGCCCGGCCCGCCTGCTGCCCAGCGCGGGCGCTAAGCTGGTCGGCACGTCTGCTGACTCCCACCCAGGCCAAGCTCCAGCGGCAGTCTGACAGAGAAGGGAAGGGCTGGGAGCTCCTGGCTCAGCCCGTCGGAATGGCAGAGGGACACAAAATCGCCCCCATAGCCAGGAGACCATGGGCGGGCGGTGTGCCCGCCTTCAGGGTGGCTCTGCGGCCATACAGGGCAGCGTGAGAGTCAGTGACCTGACTCAGGTCGCTGGTCACACACAGGTGGCTGGTCCTTCTGGCTTCAGGGCTGTGCCTGACAGCACATCCCCTGGTGGGGCTGCGGTGCGCAAGGGGGCTGGCTTGCGGCCGTGCCCGAGGGTTGGGCAGTAGTGGGGCGTCCAGGGGAGATGCTTGACCAAGAGCCACGTCTCATTAGGGACCTCTGCCGGCTTCTCACAATGGCACGGTGCTGTCAGCTCCGCTCAGAGCTGCGGGACACCTGGGGTCCTGAGCACTGACCTATGGGGGTGGGCCTGGGTGGTGGGGGGAGGGTCTGGAAGTCTGGGCCCTGGGCCCCCCTGCTCACCTGCCAGCAAGTAGGGACACTGTTCCTTGTGGCCTCCTCGTCTGGAAAACGGGGACGATGCCTTTTGACCCCTGCGAGCCTTCAAGGAGGCGCCAGGTGCAGGGGCCGCCCTGCATCATACAGGGGGTGGATGGGGGGGACCTTCCCTCCCCCACCGACCCCACCCAGAGGGGGACCACATAGGGGTCATTGGTTGTTTTAACGTGTAAGGTTGAGGGAGCTGGGAGGGTCTTTGGAGTTTACCTTATCCGCTGTTTCCCGGGTGGTGTTCCAGGGAACCCTCCTGCCGGCAGCAGGTGGAGGACACAGAGGATTGGGGAGGCCAGGCTGCACCCCATCTCCGTCCCCCTGCTCACAGGGCCCAGCACCCCTGGAACACTGAGGCCCTTCCGTCAGGCCTGTTCGTGAGGGCGGGTGCGGACACGGTGTGGGAACTGCTGGTCAGTTTGGGCTGATTGACGGGTAAACCGAGGCCGGGGGCCAGCATGGGGCGTGAACTGTAGTGACTGCTGAGGGTCCCCTGCCCGGGCCCTGGGCACAGGGAAGCCTCTGCAGTCGCTGCCCGGGGTCCGGTCCCCCCACCCTGCCCCGCCACTGCCCCGCGTGTGTATAAAGAAGCCATTGCACCTCTCACAGGTCACACAGCGGGGCTCCTCGCAGAGCTGCCCTGTGTTACCAGGGTCTCCCTGGGAGTGAGGGGGCGTGGCCTGGCCAGTGACCCTCTTCCTCTCTAGAAGGTTCCGCATTCCCGAGAGGTGACTGGCAGAGAGCAGGGGGGAGGAGTTGGTTATGTAATTGGGGCGGGGTGGGCCGCCCCCCATTCCTGCCCAGGGTGGGGCTGAGGGCTCCTGGGCCTGGTCCAGGGCTTGGGAGACAAGGCTCCTGAGGGTATGCTTGGGGAACAGAGTGACCCACAGCAGGCAGGTCAAGGGGCACACGGGCACCTCCTGTAACTGGGGGCGCGTCAGAGGCAGCAGCTCAGCGCTGCTGATGGGCGGAAGCTCGTGAAGCCTGGGCCAGGCTCCAGCGCAGGGGGCTTGGGGCCCTGGGGAGGGGGCCACTGGCCGCCCCATCCTCACAGGGCGCCTGTGGACCCCTCCTCTGCCAGCAGGCTCTGTCGGGGAGAGGCATGGCGCCCACGTCATACACCAGGACCCTAAGAGCCCAGGGCTCGTCCGCGGTCATGCTGACTGTGCTGGTGTGGTTGCATGACGGTCCAGCTTGTCCTCTGGCTGCACCTCAGTCCCCTTTGCCCACCTGGGAAGGTTAAAAGCCCCCCCAGGGGGGCAGTGGTATGGGGCATTAGGGAGCTGGCTTTGGTTGAAGGTCTGGTGCCTTCTGAGATGAAGGGCCGCTGGTGTGATCCGGGAAGACCCTGAGTCCTGCTGGGGGTCGGGGCTGGTGGGTACAGCAGGGATA